ACAAGACTGTCAAGAATCTTCTCTCGTTGTCTTCCTCTATCCCTACTTCCACAGATCTTTTCAGTGGTCACAACATGTTCTATTTTCCCTCTTCTCATAGATCCCCAACTGCAATAATTTCGTGAATATGTTCTATATACTTATAATTGATTCGCTAATGGATGTAACACAAAATAGATAGATAGGTTTGCTGTCTTTTCCGCTGCCACGCTAATTATTCCTATCGTGTATGTGTGTGTGTATTCGGTCTTCAGTCTTGCAGTCGATCGTTCGGTTTGGCACCCCCGGAGTGATTCGATTTGATTCAAATGTTAAAGACAGTGTTCATTTAAGGATGATCCAGCGATACGTCAAGCAAACCGACAGCTGATTTGAATGTTCCACAGCAACTGTTCTATAAATGGTTTATGGAATCAGAAAATGCATCAGACGGAAAAGTATCCAGCAGGACGCCAGAACTGACTCATTTTCCCGTGTTTTAAGTGCATGGTAAACGATCGAGGCCAGCGATACAATTGGGACGTGAAAAATCTGTGTTCTCGGAAATATACATCTTGAAATTGTAGTTAAGACAAAAGGCAAGACTGCTGTTATATGAATATCAGATTATAGGAACAAAGGTAACAAAACACAAGAAATACATCATAACTGTGGTTTTGCTTGGAGCGGCGCCAAGAAAGACCAGAAGGCTAGGCTTAAAGGTGGTTTCATTCTTCACCCTGATATACCTGAACAGACTGAAAAAGATCCAGCGTGGAAACCAAATCTGGGTCGAGCACAGGGTGGATTCAGAGGAGCACGGCGATGTAAGTAAAGTAAAGGACCCTTTTCCACGCCTTTAGGCGTATAGGGTAAAAAAAATATTTTTTATAGTCCAACAGCATAAGATGGATAATGTGCTCAGCATCACGCCGGCCGCCTCTACTTCCCAGGACTGCACCCGGTACCCACTCAAGGCTGGGTCGACCTGAGAACTAAGGTCATTTTTGAAGAAAAGTCCGGCTCCGCCAGGGAGCGAACCCATGACCTTCCGATCCCCGGTGCGCATATAGCCGCTCTGCCACGGCGACTCCCTCGGCGATGTACTGGTGCTATATTTGACATTCTGAAAAAAAAAAACAAGCAGAAAGACAAAAGAAAATAGACTACAAATGAATGTTGTCTACATAGATCAAGATCAGGCGTTTGATAGATTTAGTTGCATATCCTTTACAGGGCGTTACAGAACCAACCCTAGCATGTTTTGGCTGTTGTGTTTTTTCTAAGCATGTTAACATTCAGTAGTTTGCCATTGCTTTTTGCGCGGTCGACTCTCAGTACCACTGTCGAAACCAACACAAGACAAACCGTCCGCATCTGGGATCGAACCCGGCACCCCTGCATTGCGAAGCACCTTCCCAACGCCTAAGCCACAGACGCCAATATAGTAGACTGAGAATTAGTTTGGGAAGTAATGAAATTGTGGAACGAAAAGGGACAGTGTTAAACAGTACAAGAGCTGTCTATAGAGAAAGGGACATTGTTAAATTTTACAAGAGCTATCTAAAGAGAAAGGGACATTGTTGGATTGTACAAGAACTGTCTATAGAGAAAGGGACATCGTTGGATTGTACTATAGCTGTCTATAGAGATAGGTGCATTGTTAGATTCTGCTATAGCTGTCTATAGAGAAAGGGACACAGATTGTACAAGAGCTGTCTATAGAGAATGGGACAATATATAGAGAAAATAGCTATCTATAGAAAAAGCACATGTGCGGAAAGAACAACAGCTATCCATAGAGACAGCATATGTGCGGTCAGAACAATAGCTTTCTGTAGAGAACGCAAATGTGCGGTCAAAACAATAGCTATGTATAGAGAAAGAAGATGTGCGGTCACAACAATAGCTATCGATAAGAGAAAGTAGATGTGCGGTCAGAACAAGAGCTTTCTGTAGAGAACGCAAATGTGCTGTCAGAACAAGAGCTATATATAGAGAAAGCAAATGTGCGGTCAGAACAGGAGCTATCTATAGAGAAAGCAGAAGTGCGGTCAGAACAAGAGCTTTTTTTAAACAACGCAAATGTGCGGCTATGACAAAAGCTATCTATTGAGAAAGCAGATGTGCGGTCGGAACAATAGCTATCTATAGAGAACGCAGATGTGCGGTCAGAACAAGAGCTGTCTAAAGAGAAAGTAAAAGTGCTGTCAGAACAAAAGCTTTCTATAGAGAAAGCAGATGTGCCGTCAGAACAAGAGCTATCTATAGAGAAAGCAGATGTGCGGTCAGAACAATAGCTATCTATACAGAAAGCAGATGTGCGGTCAGAACATGAGCTGGCCTTACAGACTAGTTCTTATAAAATCAGGACTGCACAAACTAGCTGCACGACGGCTGCCTCAGACGTAATATAAAAATAAACATTGAAAAAACGGGTCAGTGCATCAAACAGTCTACATAAAAGACCAAAGTTTAAAACAAGTTCAGCACTTAATATACTTGGGGAGCATTTTTGCTTATTAGGGAGAATAGTCATCAAACTGTCTTGATAAAGATAAAAGACCAAAGTTTAAAACACGTTCAGCGCTTAATATACCTGGGGAGTATCGGAACTACCAAGCGAAGCTGAATTACTGACGTCATGAACTCGTCTTTCACAGCAGGAGAAGTATATAGACTAGAATTTGGTACAAACTGGACAAAATATTATTGTCTGGCCACTTCATATTGCAAGCAGTTTCGCACAAACAATTATCGATACTAACTTAGAATATTGCATAGTATACAAGATACAGGTATCTGCATCCCACGTCATTTTCTTCTTTCTCTTTTGTTGCTCGTCTTCTCTTTTCTTTTTCTGCTTTATGATTTGTTCTACCCCTGCTGCCGTTCCTAAGCTTCCAACCCTTTTCTCTCCTCATGTCATTCTTATCATCATGGAATATAGATCCCCAATAATCTCACAACCTTTGCACCTTGCATTTCGTATTTCACACATTGTCTCTGATTTATAATGCATTAGTGAATTACCATTATATACATTTATTAATCTATATTAATAAAAATGTTAATTTCCCGAGTTTCTTAACTATAGACTCAGACGCTACTGAACCGAATTGCTTTCAATTTTGCACACAACGTTGCCTTTGACTCAAAGCGTGATTTATTTTGGTCAGAAAATCTCACAAACCACGAACGACGTAGCTGCAGCAACGGTCAAATCATTATTTGTTTTGTTGCCGGCCTGGATTTTTTTTAGTTGATTGACCATTTTTGACTGCTAAGATCCTTTTGAACTTTGCGTTAGTATATAATTTCATTTCCACAATCTGCTTGAGTGTTTGGTAGTGTAGTTGTAAGTTTTCTGCCTAGCATGCCTAGCATGTCTATTCTGCCTATTCTACCCTTCACGCGGATGAGCGGTGTTCGATTCCCCGCTGGGTGATAATTGTTCTTTTTCCCTTGAAAGGGTGGTTGCCACGTTGTGTTGTGGTTTACAGCTAGGCTGCGATATCTGCCTATCGTGCGGGTGACTCGCGTTTGATTCCCCGCTAGGTGATATAATTTTTTGAGCCCTTAACTGGGTGGCTGGCACGTTGTATTGTGGTTTATGGCTAGGCTGTGTCATCTACGCCTTTTTTTTTTGTTTTTGGAGTTTACAGCTAGCCTGCGATAGCGGCGATGTGATGCTCAATGGTCATGTCACGGGTAATCTTCGTTCGCCCTCGAAAGAGCTGATGGCACGTGGTGTTGTGGTTTACAGCTAGGCTGTGATATCTGACCTAAACTCTTCACTGTTCGTTAGTATAGTTGTAAGTATACCACCCTCACGTGGATGAACGGTGTTCTTTTTCCCTTAAAAGGGTGGTTGCCACGTTGTGCTGTGGTTTACAGCTAGACTGCGATATCTGCGCCTTTCGCCCAAAGACATTCGATTTCAGTAAAGTCACAGTAAGCCTCCCCGCGACGTTTCTGGGTCAAAAACTATTCGACGATGACAGAAACTGTTAACTAACATGGCTTACAGTCGAGTTTAGTTTCAGTGGACACTGATGCCAAAGTCAGTTAAAAATTTCCTTTCAGATAGGGAGAGATGACGTGTGCGGGATATTTTTCTCCGCTATTTGTTAGTATAGTGTACTTTTTATTGTGGGTTCCATCACTGTTTAGGTGATGAAGTTTTTTTTTCTCCTATGTCGGAGGCAAAATTAAACTAAACAGTCCGTGGCCACAGCATGCGGCGCTAACTCCTCTTTTCTACACCGACCTACACATACTGTAGTGACAGTTTTTGTTGTTGTTATTGTTGTTGTGATGGTCGTGGTGGTAGTTGTAGCAATAGTCTGGTACTGGACGGATGATATGGTAGCTGTTACACTGGCCACATGTACTTCTCAGTACAAATCAATGCTACCCATTTTAGTCTGGGTGGACACGGATGCCAAAGTCAATTTAGTTACAATATTTCATCAGATGATGACTTTCCCATCCTTCGGAGAGAATGATATGATTAGTGGGGGTGGGGGGGGGGGTAAGGGTTTTGATACCAGACACTATTAACTGAGAGAGCTTTAAACATTATTTTAAAGTTCCTATTTCCTAACTTTCTGTTTTAAATAATTTCGCCAGGGAAGATTTTTCAATCCTCCAGCGAGGGAGATATGACTGGGTCTATAAGAGAGAAGGGAGGGAGGGGGGATATGACAGACACTGTTAGCTTAGAGCTATTTTCTTTCTTTTCCATTTCATCATTCTTGGCCACAGCAACGCGTGGCCGGGTACAGCTAGTTTGGCCATAAAGTTTGTATTATTTGTTGACTTTTCTGTGGCTTAATTTGCCAATAACAGACAAAACTCCAAAACCCTTCCCCTACAATCGGAGTGTGTTTGAATGAAGACACTGTGTTCAAAGATTTTCAGTTGTTGTGTGAGAAGCCTGTCAGTTGCCACCATAACAAACGTTAGGGTTTTTTTTTTTTTTTTTGCAGGTTCAGGAAGTTGCTAAACAACAACGAGAAATGGGAGAGACTCTGGAGATGAGGTCCTACTTCATCAGATGTGTTCCTGAAGGCAACATTCCCTACAGAGAAGGTGTGAAGCCGGAAACATTTCAGGTCAGTTGTAGTCAGAGAAGACATGTATGGTCAATCAGAGAAGACATGTATAGTCAATCAGATGTGTTCCTGAAGGCAACATTCCCTACAGAGAAGGTGTGAAGCCGGAAACATTTCAGGTCAGTTACAGTCAGAGAAGACATGTATGGTCAATCAGAGAAGACATACATAGTCAGTCAGAGAAGACATGCATGGTCAATAAGAGAAGACGTATAGTCAGTCAGAGAAGACATGCATGGTCAATAAGAGAAGACGTATAGTCAATCAGAGAAGACATATATAGTCAGTCAGAGAAGACATGGATGGTCAATAAGAGAAGACATGTATAGTCAATCAGAGAAGACATGTATAGTCAATCAGAGAAGACATACATAGTCAGTCAGAGAAGACATGTATGGTCAATCAGAGAAGACATGTATAGTCAATCAGAGAAGACATGTATAGTCAATCAGAGAAGACATACATAGTCAGTCAGAGAAGACATGCATGTTCAATAAGAGAAGACGTATAGTCAATCAGAGAAGACATATATAGTCAGTCAGAGAAGACATGTATGGTCAATAAGAGAAGATATATAGTCAATCAGAGAAGACATATATAGTCAGTCAGAGAAGACATATATAGTCAGTCAGAGAAGACATATATAGTCAGTCAGAAAAGACATGTATGGTCAATAAAGAAGATGTATAGTCAATCAGCGAAGACATATATAGTCAGTCAGAGAAGACATGTATAGTCAGTCAGAGAAGACATGTATGGTCAATAAGAAAAGATGTATAGTCAATCAGAGAAGACATGTATAGTCAGTCAGAGACGACATATATAGTCAGTCAGAGAAGATGTATAGTCAATCAGAGAAGACATGTATGGTCAATAAGAGAAGATGTATAGTCAGTCAGAGAAGACATGTATATTCAGTCAGAGAAGACATGTATAGTCAGTCAGAGAAGACATGTGTAGTCAGTCAGAGAGGACATATATAGTCAGTCAGAGAAGACATGTATAGTCAGTCAGAGAAGACATGTATGGTCAATAAGAGAAGATATATAGTCAATCAGAGAAGACATGTATATTCAGTCAGAGAAGACATGTATAGTCAGTCAGAGAAGACATGTATAGTCAGTCAGAGAAGACATGTATAGTCAGTCAGAGAAGACATGTATAGTCAGTCGGAGAAGACATGAATGGCCAGTAAGAGAAGACATGTATAGTCAATCAGAGAAGACATGTATTGTCATTCAGAGCAGTAAGTTTCAGTAGGAAGTATTAGATCATGCTTGGCGCCCATGCTTGTCTGTCTACTGCGCAGCGTCCGTGGCTTAGGCGGTGCGAGTCCGACTCGTAATTCCAATGTACCGCGATCGAAACCCACTGCTGGCTGTGTGGATTTTTATCATGTTATGAGGCGTCGCAGATTGACCCAGCCTAAAATGGGTATCAGGGTGGCTGTCCTGGGGAAGTAAAGACGGCCCGCGTAATGCTGGCCACAAAATATGGGTTCTCTTCCCATACATAATGCGCCTAAAGGCGTGAACAGGGATCTTTACTTACTTATTTACTTGTCTGTCTACTGTCTTAACTTGCCATCTTTTTTATTTTGTGGTTATTTACTGTTACTAGGCCTGTTTACAACACATTACATCAAACCACCACAACTATTTCTCCATCATTTACACTCTACAGATCATCAGTACTTCACATCTGCACACAAACAGATAGGGGCCACGTTAGCGCAGTCGATAGGAGACTCGCTTTTAAATCCAGCTGCGACTCGCTGCAGCCCACGGCTGGTGTTCAAAACCGGGCGGATCCCGGTGTTCACTCAGCCTCTAGGTAATGGGTACCAGAGTTAACACTCTGGGGTAAATGGAGGAACGTCGCTGTAGATACCGAGTTACGTGCAGATGGCGACACAGGCGGACAGTTCTTATCAACTCTCCGTACTGGTGGCAGAGCACTTATGGTTTATAACCGTATGCAGTGAGGCTGGTTCATATCTCCCCACTTTACCTTTACCTTTACACAAAGAGGTTTCATGTTTTACCTACAGCAATATGACGACAATAAGCAAAACACAGAATAACTAGGATGAAAAAAGGAAAAACATAATGACTTTCAAATAAAATCTGAGCATTAAAAAAAACTTGCTGACAAAAGGAATCATGTCTCAGAAACATAAATATTTAGTCCATATTATATTTCGCAAGGGTTTAGAGTAAATAGTACTTAAAATGATGATTTCCTGAAGACTAAGCAGGGTGGACAATCACTTCAGTGGACACAGGATATAAATAGCTGAAGTGATCAAGGGGTCAGAGGAGACACACCCAAATACTGTCCCGACCGGCGACAGTCATCTACCCATCAGCCAGTGGGCGACCTGGTCGTCGATGTGATACGAAACTGAATGTATCTGCAAAGCAGAAGAAGAAAAGTAGTAGTAGTAGCAGCAGCAGCAGCAGGGGCAGCAGTAGTAGCTGCAGCAGCAATAATTGTAGCAGCAGTGTTGATAGTAATAGTAGCAGTAGTGGTAGTAGTAGTAGCAGTGGTAGTTGTAGTGGTGGTGGTGGTGGTAGTAGTAGTAGCAGTAGTAGCAGTGGTAGTTGTAGTGGTGGTGGTGGTAGTAGTAGCATCAGTAGTAGCAGCAGCAGCAGTAGCAGTAGTTAGCTCAAAGACTAACAGCTATATCATTGTTTTTGTTCTAAACAATGTGTGAGAAGTTGTCTATGAATTCCAAACTGTAAATAATTCAAAAGTATCTGATTTTAACCTACTGACCCCCATTTCCATGCCCAACACAGGCACGTGACAACATTTCAAACTTCATCTCCTGGACAAGACATCTGGGTATCCCAGAAGTACTCAGCTTTGAGACAGATGATCTTGTCTTAAGGAAAAATGAGAAAAGTGTCATCCTGTGCTTACTGGAAGTTGCTAGGGTAAGACTTTAGCACCTTATTTATTGGAAGTTGCTAGGGTAAGACTTTAGCTTCTTATTTACTGGAAGTTGCTAGGTTAAGACTTTAGCTCCTTATTTACTGGAAGTTGCTAGGGTAAGACTTTAGCACCTTATTTACTGGAAGTTGCTAGGGTAAGACTTTACCACCTTATTTACTGGAAGTTGCTAGGTTAAGACTTTAGCACCTTATTTACTGGAAGTTGCTAGGGTAAGACTTTAGCACCTTATTTACTGGAAGTTGCTAGGGTAAGACTTTAGCTCCTTATTTACTGGAAGTTGCTAGGGTAAGACTTTAGCACCTTATTTACTGGAAGTTGCTAGGGTAAGACTTTAGCACCTTATTTACTGGAAGTTGCTAGGGTAAGACTTTAGCACCTTATTTACTGGAAGTTGCTAAGGTAAGACTTTAGCACCTTATTTACTGGAAGTTGCTAGGGTAAGACTTTAGCTCCTTATTTACTGGAAGTTGCTAGGGTAAGACTTTAGCACCTTATTTACTGGAAGTTGCTAGGGTAAGACTTTAGCTCCTTATTTACTGGAAGTTGCTAGGGTAAGACTTTAGCACCTTATTTACTGGAAGTTGCTAGGGTAAGACTTTAGCACCTTATTTACTGGAAGTTGCTAGGGTAAGACTTTAGCACCTTATTTACTGGAAGTTGCTAGGGTGAGACTTTAGCTCCTTATTTACTGGAAGTTGCTAGGGTAAGACTTTAGCACCTTATTTACTGGAAGTTGCTAGGGTAAGACTTTAGCACCTTATTTGCTGGAAGTTGCTAGGGTAAGACTTTAGCACCTTATTTACTGGAAGTTGCTAGGGTAAGACTTTAGCACCTTATTTACTAGAAGTTGCTAGGGTAAGACTTTAGCACCTTATTTACTGGAAGTTGCTAAGGTAAGACTTTAGCACCTTATTTACTGGAAGTTGCTAGGGTAAGACTTTAGCTCCTTATTTACTGGAAGTTGCTAGGGTAAGACTTTAGCACCTTATTTACTGGAAGTTGCTAGGGTAAGACTTTAGCACCTTATTTACTGGAAGTTGCTAGGGTAAATTTTAGCTCTTTATTGACTTGAAGTTGCTAGAGTATTATTTTCAGTTTTTATTTACTGGAAGTTGCTAGGGTAAGATCCTAAGTCTTTACTGACTGGGAAATACCAATGTAAAATTTTAGCTTTTTATTACCTGAAGGTTGATATGGTAAGATTTTAGTTGTTTATTTACTGAAAGTCACTAGTTTAACATTTTAGCTCTTTGTTTACTGAAAAATGGCTAATGTAAAATCTATCTTAATGTTTCTTTGGGGCTGCTAATGTAAAGCATTTTGCTTCTAGGCTCAGCTGAAACTTGTTCATGCTTTCTTAAGTCTGCTAGACTATGATTTTAACTCTTGCTGACAATGGGTATCCTCTTCTTCTTTGTGTTCACCAGCTGTAAACTCTGGTAAAGGTTGTTCGTCCACTTCTGGACTGCAGTTCTGTTCCAGAACCTGAGTGTTGCGTGTGCATCTGTTTGACAGATCTGACACATCTGTGTGCAGACTGTTGGTTTCTTGCCTGTTTACAGTTGTTGCTATCTAATATTTTGACTGTTTGTAGGAGGTTACAATGAGTGTAATTGTAACTGTTATTAGCGGTCACATTGGTAAATTGTACTGTTTACTTGTGGCTAGGGTGAGCTTTTTTTTTTTTTTTTTATGATTTGCAGCATTTTAATGTATTGTATGTCAAACAACACATAACATAATGACATTTTAAAAAAAAGCAAGATTTAAGAAGAAAAAAAGCTTTATAACCTTATTTCCTAGGCCTAAATTATTGTTTTAGAATTTGGAAAAGATAAATTAAAACACAAACATAAGAAGTGAAGCAAAATATGACATAAAAGATTCGCTAAACACCTGTAGTATTCAGACCTTCTATCTGTAGTAAGGAATACTATCCTCCACCTCTTTTACAAACTAGACATAAGTTTTATGTTTGTGACAATTATGGTAAAATAAATATAACATGAATTCCGTTTTAAAAAAAAAAGACTTGATTTCAGCACTGCCTTTCTGGTCTCATAACATGCTGGAGTCTACATCTGAATCAAAGTCCAGCTTCTTATGAGTGTTTGAGTCTCTGAGCCCTTCAGTGTCCACATCTCCTTCTGGGGCATTCAGGGCACTTAGAGTCACCTCTGTTGTTTTCTGTTTCTTAGAGTGGGAGTCAGCCACAACCTGCCAGGAAACTGCCTGGACCGCCTGTTTAGCTGCAGCCTTTGTGGTATTTGCTGCCTTCACTGGAGTGGAGGCCGTTGGGTGGTTAAGTCCCGCATCTTCATAAAGCTTTTCTCTTTAGCTGTGTCCTGATTTGGGAGATTGTTCTACTTTTGATTTTGTTTAAGTCTTCACCAAAGCGCTTGACTGCTGTCCGTAGCATTTCCAGCTCCTGTTCTGTCCACTTGCCCCCTATTCCCCGTGCACTCTGGTCAGAAGTAGGATGCAGCTGCATAGTCAACTCCCCGAGTTTAGTAAAAGCCAACCCGGCAGCTGTGAATATCTCTCCAACCTTTGCAGACGAACTCATTTTGCGTTGTTTTTTTTGAATCTACACACCAACTAGTCGGAAGTAATGAAGGATGCCATTCCTATCTGGCGGCACGGAAGTTGTGAGAGTGGTTAGGGTGAGCTTTAGTATCTTGAGCTGAAAACGGAAAAATTTTTGAGCTAAAAAAAGGGGGACATTCCCAGTCAAGACAGTTAACCCGACCCTCCTTGTGTTGGGGTCACTGGGGGTAAAAGATTGATTACTCACTCGATAATAGTTCTAAAACCCGAACCATTATCTCCAAGGAAAATAACGAAACAATATTTTCTTTAACTGCTGTCAAAAAAAAATGCTGTAAAAATTCTCATCAACACACTTTAGGCATTAAAAGTATCTAAAACACTGACATCTAATAAGGTCTACAAATGTAACAATAAGTGTATGTTCTATTCTTAAGCTTACTGATTTTTAAAAAAAAAAAACAGGACACTTGGCAGTTTGTGTGTGCTTGTGTTCGGTGGTGGAGTTTACGATAGGATGGCCGGGACTCATATAAAAAAGTGGACTGTTCAGGTGAAAACAAAACGTATGGTCACCCTTTTTATGGCAAATAGGGAAAGATTAGGTTGATCTTCTCCACTTAGGCACATATGTCTTATATATAACTATATATGTTGTTGAATGGGTAATGTTTGAATAATGGCTGTGTTCTGCCTGCTTGGGTTTCCTTCTAAAAAAGAAGGTGCCAGGTTGTAAATACTGGTACTTTATGTCTAGTATATATGATCATTTTGGTTCTCTGAAAACGACAGGTGGGGGCAAAGCTGGGGATGCTAGCACCGACACTTGTTCAGATGGAGGAGGAGATTGACGCTGAGTTAGCAGGCGAAGAGCCACTGCCGAGGGCTCAGATTCAAACCTGTGATCTGAGATCTCTGGATGAGAGGGTAAGTAGATTAGGTGATTCCTAGCTATCTTGTCATTATAGTGTCTTTGTTTGTTTGTTTGTTTGTTTTAGTATCCAGAAGCCATGAGTTGTTAACCCTTAGGCTCGGTATTATGGATATCACAACCTTTCGGCCTTGATTCCATTGTAAATACCGTAAATCTGGGAGAAATGTGGCTTTCCTGCCTACCCCCGGGATTGATCTCGGACCACAAGAAGTTCGTCACCAGGTCTCCGCGTAATCCGGTTTAGCCAACTACGCTAGAGAGCCGGGCATAGTGTCTTTGTAGTTGAATTAAGAATTAAGAATTGACATCACAGCACTCGGGACACTCCGATAAGCACTCTGTCCCCATCTTCAGCAGCAAGCGAAGAGTTAAAATTCCGATGGTACCAGTAACAGTCTGATTGTATATTCGTCTCGCCCCTCCCCCGAGTGTCGAGCGTCAGCCAGATCCCCTTGTAACTCCTTGCAGTGCCATTCTCCTCAGACCGTAATGATCTATCTGTTCCTTGACACTGTTCACTCGCTCCCAAAGGGTCCTCACAACATCCAGCTTGTCATATATCAGTTCACCCCCAAGTGGTGAAGAACCGGCCAGTCTATCCGCCTGCTCATTTCCCAACACCTGCATAACCTTCAGAAAATATCCAAAGGATTTTGGATCCAAAGTGTCTTTGTAGTGAAGTAGTGTTCCTGTTTTCTGTCCTTGTAAACTTCTTTGAAACATTTAATTGTATTTTCTGCTGAAATCGGAACATTTTGGGTGCATGTGTGTTATATGTTTCTTGGAGCCATTGCTTAAAATCGGAATGGAGTGTAGGTGGGTGTATGTGTGCATACAGGTATGTGTGATGATTCATGTATTGTATTCATGGCTGTGTGTCTCTTCTAGTTTATCTCTGGCTGCTGTTCTTTTCTAGTTCATCTTTTGTTGCTGCGTACCCTTTGTAGTGATGCCCACCACAATTTTCTATTACTCTTGCCCTCAGCAAATCTGTTGACAAGCAGCTGTGTCTCTTGATATGCCCTAGGCATTTTTATTGTTAAACTTTGATTATCTTCGGTAATGTACTCCGAAGTCACAGTTTTTTCAAATAACTGGTCTGCTTATTGTCATCTCTTGTCAGACTGATCATGCTGGCCAACATTACACTCAGTTTTGCATGGCCTTCTCGTGTACATGTGACTTTGTGTGTGTACGTGTGTATGTGAGTGTGTTCGTGTGTGTGACTGTGTTAGTTACTTTGAAAAATGAGGGGGTAAAAGGGGGTAGGGAAAGAGAGAGATTGTCTACTGCAGTGTTTTACAAAGTGGGAGCTACTGTAACGTGGGGTGGTGTCGGAGGGGCGCTGGGTCGGGGTCGGGGCGGGGTGGAAGGGGCACTTGGACTGTCGGGATGGGGTAGGAATGGTGGCAGTTAAGAAGGGAAGAAAAGTGACTTGAGCTCCAAATCATTTTCAGGACAAGACCCCCTACCCCTTTCCCACATAGAAAGTTTGCAGGGGCTAACCGTCCTCCCCCATCCATCTTTGGACGTTTGTTTTTGTTCATATATTTCATGTTTTTTTTTTTAAATGTTTTAGATTTATTTGCCAGCCATCACATAACAGTAATTATTACTTCTGCACACTTAAACAAGGCCTTCTTGAGTCCCGCCTCTAAAAACTATAAGAAACTGAGGGCTCTGCCTAAATTGTGAATTCCCCCCCCCCCCCCCATGTTTTCTTTGTGGAGACGGCTCTGGTATCAATAATATATAGATACAAGTCTCCATCACCTACTGGTGTGTTTCCCAAGTTTTGTGTTACATTCTGTAGTCTAGCATTTTGTATTGGTTGCTAACTGTTTCCTTTTTTTTTTTAATTTCATAAAAATAGAAAGCACAGCCCCCCGTTTGGGTTCCGGGACCCCATTGTGGGGAATACAAGAATAGACCCACTGTCTCCCCACAGCATTTTGTAAGAGTTGACTAAATGAGGAGCTTCCTTTGAAGTCGGAGTGCGTCTGCCTGAGAGGCAAGGAACCAACAATCTGCACTCAGGTGCATCAGATCTGTAAAACTGATGCACACGCAACACTCAAGTTCTGAAGCAGGACTGCAGTTCAGAAGTGGATAAACAACCAGAACTTTCTGCCAGAGTGGTGGATCTATTCTTGTTTTCCCTATAATAGGGCCCCGGAACCTAAATGGGGAATGTGCAGTTTCAATTACCACATATTTTTTGACTGAGGCATCTGCAATTTCTTTCTGCTTGGTACCTCCAGGTATACATTTCATAGTAATTGATCTACTGTTCTCACCCCCTCCCCCCTCCCTTCTCTTCTAGGCACATCGATCAATAGCTGGGGGTATCTCATATTATTTGCAATGCTGTATGTGTGTCACAGCCAGTGTAGCCACTTTTCTTTGACAGAAAACATCTAGATCTGGATGTAAAACATCCAAAAGTTGCAGCACTGGTCTCAGCAGTCCCATTTGCCTACCTAAGACTATTATTATTCTGTGTAGCACATGTTGGTGAGTGCTTGTAATTTATGACCCCGCCAGTTGTTTCTGTCATTTCCCTGGTTGGGATCAGTTTGCTGAGACTACAGCTCTGATTACGTCCTGGCTATCAGCTGTGCCTGTGCTTGTTGGTTGTTATCACAAAAGCCGCAAAAGTAGAGGCAGTATTAGTATAACCATGAAAATAAGGTGTCCAAGAAAGACTGTAGGAGTGACCTGAAAAAAAAAAAATCTGGAATGAGGTCATAGAAGATAAAAAAGTCGGCACAGAACCAATTCTAAATTACACACACAGACAGCAAATCAAATGGTTTCCCCACTTGGAGAGAATGCCTTCTGACACCATAGCATACAAGGCATATACCAAAAGAGGAGAGGGACCTAGAACAAGAGGTAGACCAATGATAATATGGGAAGATAACATTAGAGAAACTCTACAGCACATGATGTGTCTATGGTTGAAGCAGTCAGAAGAGCACAAAGCAGGACGCTATATCCCCCTCAAACACTGAAGTGGTAAAAGAGGATGTCGAGAAGAAGAAGAACCGTATGCTGATGATTTCACAATAATGAATAAAACAAATGATAACCGGATTGTTTGAAGTACTTGATGCAGTTTAGCAACAATTAACAGTAATTTAAACAAATGTGTTTCCTTTATAAATTTAACTTCAGGCGATTAGGTAAACACAATGCATCAAAACCATTTGTAAGTTGGACCATGTCGTATTTCAGTTGTAACTTTCTAGTAATTTGTTAAGTTTGCCTGCAATAAACTGCAAGGAATGATGCTGACCATCTTGTGTCGATTGGTCTATAAAATATAGGTCTACCCCTATACGCCCTATTTGCCCAAAGACATGGAAAAAGGCACCTTTACTTTACTTTTTTCAATAAACTGCAATGTATTGTTTGTGTCTGCATTATTTAAAATAAACAGTAAGATGTCATACAGATGTACTTATTAGGGAATTCCTGATGCCACTGAGGCAGCATTTGACTTTAATTAACAGACATTGATTAGGTCTAATAGAAGAAAAGGTTACAAATCACAAGCTGACAATATAAACATTTTGACCTCACCAGAAATGAAATCTGGCATCTCAAAATGATGACACCTTGCTGAAAGAACAGTTGTCTTCTTCTTCTTCTTTTGTCTTTTTCTTCTTCTTCTTCTTCTTCTTCTTCTTCTTCTTCTTCTTCTTCTTCTTCTTCTTCTTCTTCTTCTTCTTCTTCTTCTTCTTCTTCTTCTTCTTCCCGTTCACCGGCTATAAGCTCAGGCGAAGGTTCTGGTTGTTCATTCATTTCTGGACTCTAGTCCTGTTCCAGAACCTAAGTGTTGCATGTACATCCATTTCACAGGTCTGACTCATTTGCATGCAGACTGTTGGTTCCTTGCCTCTCAGGCAGATGTACTCCGACTTCGCAGGAAGCTCCCAATTAGTCAACTCTTACGACATGCTTTTGGCCAGGCAGTAGGTCTATTTTAGTTTTCCCCACAATTGGACCCCAGAACCCACACGGGGTAGAACAGTTGTATTTCTACCAAATGCCCTGCAGACCAATAGTTTAGCAGCTGGAGCAATCAAACAAGATAAAGTTTAACATTAAACAGTCAAAATTCAGACTACTCTTTCGTTTTTCAGGTTCGTGATCTCATTAGTCGGTGCACATGCCCTGTTCAGTTCCCCATGATCAAGGTCAGTGATGGTAAATACAAGATCGGGGATACCAAGAGTTTGATTTTTGTCAGAGTAAGTTGTTGTTGCTGTTGTTCATGTTCTCACTCTCTCTCTCTCTCTCTCTCTCTCTCTCTCTCTCTTTCTCTCTTTCTCTCTCTCTCTCTCTCTCTCTCTCTCTCTCTCTCTTTCTGTGTGTCTTTCTCTCTTTCTCAGTGAGTGCTTGCATACATGTGTGCTTACAAGAGAGAAAGTGTGGAAAAAAAAAGGGTGGGGTGCAAAGTGATATTGTAATATAATATGGTTTGTATTGTTTCCATATAATATTGTTTCATTGTGACCTTTCCTATGTCTGTGTTTGTAATGTTTTCATATGTTATTGTTTCATTGTGACCTTTCGTATGTCTGTGTTTGTAATGTTTTCATATGTTATTGTTTTATTGTGACCTTGCAGTCTTGCAGTCATCCTGTAACACTGTATGTCTTTAGGTCACCAGTTGTTGTTGACTGTCTGATCAGCTCCCTCCACCTTTGATGGTCAGTTCCGATGGACCTCATGGTTGCATGCCTAAGGCTTGTCCAGTCAGTTAAATTCTGTATCCAGGTTTTTCTTGGTCTGCCTTTTGTCCTCTTCCCCTCTACTGCACCCTGTAGTATTGTTGTGAGAGGCCATTAGATCTTACCACATGTCTGTACCATTGAATTTTCTGCCTTTTAACTGTAGTTAAAAGAGAGAGATTCATATTTCAGTCTAATAAAGTTTGAAAATTTTCCCATCTCATTTGAACAATAAAGATGAATCTACAACAGGTCTGGCAAACTAGAAAAAGATTTATGTCTTTATAGAGGTGCTCAAACACAATTTAGGAGATGTTTGTGCATGCGAACACCAGAATCAAACTTGAAGCTTTACTAAAACTAATCTAAACAGAATCATAACAAAAGAAATAAAATGTCTTAGAAGAGCCACCAGTAAAATTAGAGGAGTTAAGAATGAAAAAAAAAGATATTAGAATTTGTTAAAGAGCAACAGTGAGATGGTTTGGCCCTCTGACGAGAATGGCCAGGTACTAAATGCCACAGAGAGCCATGTGAAGTAATACAATGGACACAGATAAAGGACAAGACCATTTAGAATATGGAATGATGATATCAAGAACAGCCTCAACTAACTTATACAGTGCATTAGAAAGAGCATACATAAGATCCTTACACCCCCCCCCCCAACCCCCACACCCCCTAAACACTTGAGTAAAATAATTGGAGGAAGAGAAGAAGAAAAGGGGGAACAACATGTGAACACCAGAGAATTTATGAAACGTTGCCTTGTCTGTTTGTCTCTGCAGAGGCCAACACCACACTTTAGTTATGTCATGGAACTTTAGTTATGTCATGGAACTTTAGTTATGTCATGGAACTTTAGTTATGTCATGAAACTTTAGTTATGTCATGAAACTTTAGTTATGTCATGAACTTTAGTTATGTCATGGAACTTTAGTTATGTCATGGAACTTTAGTTATGTCATGGAACTTTAGTTATGTCGTGAAACTTTTTTTATGTCATGTAACTTTAGTTATGTCATGAAACTTTAGTTATGTCATGGAACTTTATGGAACTTTAGTTATCTCATGGAACTTTAGTTATGTCATGGAACTTTAGTTATGTCATGGAACTTTAGTTATGTCATGAAACTTTAGTTATGTCATGGAACTAGTTATGTCATGGAACTTTAGTTATGTCATGGAACTTTAGTTATGTCATGGAACTTTAGTTATGTCATGAAACTTTAGTTATGTCATGGAACTTTAGTTATGTCATGGAACTTTAGTTATGTCATGGAACTTTAGTTATGTCATGGAACTTTAGTTATTTCATGTAACTTTAGTTATGTCATGGAACTTTAGTTATGTCATGGAACTTTAGTTATGTCAAGGAACTTTAGTTATTTCATGAAACTTTAGTTATGTTATGGAACTTTAGTTATGTCAAGGAACTTTAGTTATGTCAAGGAACTTTAGTTATTTCATGAAACTTTAGTTATGTCATGGAACTTTAGTTATGTCATGAAACTTTAGTTATTTCATGAAACTAGTTATGTCATGGAACTTTAGTTATGTCATGGAACTTTAGTTATTTCATGTAACTTTAGTTATGTCATGGAACTTTAGTTATGTCATGGAACTTTAGTTATGTCAAGGAACTTTAGTTATTTCATGAAACTTTAGTTATGTTATGGAACTTTAGTTATGTCAAGGAACTTTAGTTATGTCAAGGAACTTTAGTTATTTCATGAAACTTTAGTTATGTCATGGAACTTTAGTTATGTCATGGAACTTTAGTTATGTCATGAAACTTTAGTTATGTCATGGAACTTTAGTTATTTCATGGAACTTTAGTTATATTGTAGAACTTTAGTTATGTCATGGAACTGTCTAGACCTTTCATAGATAATTATGTTGAACTATTATATTTTTAATTACAATCTGCTCCACATCTGTGAATCTCTATGTAATCTTTACAGTAACATGTGATCATTCTTCTTTGATAGATCCTTCGTAATCATGTGATGGTCAGGGTAGGAGGAGGCTGGGACACTCTAGAAAACTATCTCAACAAACATGATCCCTGTCAGTGCAACTACAGAGGTAAAGGTTATATAGCTGTATTAATGCCACACACATAAATATATAGAACATTTTCTCTACCCACTTATCTGAGATAAATGTTTATGGTATAGATTTTACAGACTTACTGAGATAATTGATTCTGAGTCCCCGTGTGGGTTCCGGGGCCCTATTATAAGGAAAACAAGAATAGACCCACTGCCTACCCAAAAGCATGTCGTAAGAGTGGACTATTTGGGAGCTTCCTTCAAAGTCAGAGTGCATCTGCCTGAGAGGCAGGGAACCAACAGTCTGCATACAAATTAGTCAGATCTGTCAAACTGATGCACACGCAACACTCAGGTTCTGGAACAGGACTGCAGTTTAGAAGTGGATGAACAACCAGAACTTTCCGCTGGAGTTTACAGCCGGTGAACGCAAAGAAGAAGAAGAATTTAGTTTTCGATAAAAGAGGATCAGACTTATGTGAAGAAGGTATCATTTATGTGAGATAAAAGCGAAGCAGAGTTTGGTTGAAATATGCCAGTATATAATATTTGAGAAAGAAGAAAAGAGTATAGTTTACTTGTTAATTAAACTTAGTTGAGTATCCTTTACAGGACATTGCAGAACCAACCCCAGCAACTTTGGGATGTTGTGGTTTCTCTATAGGCAAATGTACATCCAGTACTTTGCCAATGCTTTCTGGACTGTCGGCTTTTCGATACCACTGTCGAAACCAACGCAAGGCCGGCAGCTGGGATCGAACCCAGTACCCCAGCATTATGAAGCTCGTTCACAATGCTTAAGCCACAGACGCCGACATAGTTTACTTGAGCAAGGTAAAAAAAAGAGTACAAAGAAGACATGAACAGATTGCTTGGAATATTACATCCTCCAATGAACGTAAAATTGTGACAACAGAGATGAAATGCCTTAGAAGAGCTGCAGGAGTTTCAAGGAAAGACAGCATACAAAATTATGAAATCAGACAAATGCTAGGAATAAAGCCAGTCTTACAGGTCATCAAAGAACAACAAATTAAGTGATTTGGACACCTAACAAAAATGCCCTGGTACTATCTGCCACAGCGAGCCACACTAAAACGTTACAACGAGTATAGAGTGAGTGGAAGACCTCGGAAAACATAGAGTGATGGCATTGAGAACAGCCTTACAGAAATGAACATCAGTTTTAATGGTGCTCTTGACAGAGCTCATCAATACATTTACCCCACCCCCCCCCCCCCCCCCCCCCCCCCCCCCCTCCCCCCCCCCCCCCCCCCCCCCCCCCCCGACACTTCGATAAGGTACAAGGTGGAAGAGAAGAAGAAGAAATGTTTGGAATATTTGGCTGTCTCTCTTCGTCGGCACATACAAATCAAACAATACCACACAAATACACAAAATCCCTTAGCTGGTATCTAGAAGCAGCCGGGTCGATGATTTCTCAGCAGACGTGGAGATGGTACAAGATGCTAGGCCTGTGATGTAGATGTAGACTAGCCCAAGCAAACCCAACATTTTCCAGGAGGAAGAAAATTCCTTGCAATATATTTGTCATTAGAGGGGAGAGAAGTAATTCTCAAGAATTATGGTCAACTCTGATGTGTGGAAATGAATCATGGGCAGTCAGCCATTATTAGGAAAGTATGTACAGAGATGTGATTGTGTAGATTACAAAGAGGGTAATGAAGATGTCAATCTGGACTTTTTTTCAAAAATGACCTTGGCTCCCAGGTTGACCCAGCCTTGAGTTGGTACCAGGTGCAGTCCCGGGAAGTAAAGGTGGCAGGGGTGGTGCTGACCACATCACCCATCTTGTGCCAGTTGGTCTATAAAATATAGATCTAGCCCTATATGCCCTATACTCCTAAAGGCATGGAAAAGAGTCCTTTACTTTCCTTACTTTACTTAATGAAGATGTCACAAAGAGAACTTGCAATCAGAAGACCACAGCCTTTGTCAGGAAAGGGAGAAAACTGAAGTCTGTTGTGAGGAAAAGAAAGGTTGGAGGAGATTTAAAAAAAAATATTAAAAAGTTGCGACATGAACTTTAAGAATAAAAATAAGTAAATAGACAAGACATTGTCATGATGCTTACAATATAGCAGAATGTATCAGCAAATCTCAGTATTTATTAGCTTAATAGCACCGAATGTTGATGATGGTGTTATTGAATTCTTTTGACAGTATGATTTCTCATGATCTGTTAGCTGTGTTCCTTTCCCCCTCATTTCTCATATAGCTCATCATATGTCAGCATGTTATTTGTGGTAACTAACTCTCTGAACTTTGTCTGCACAGGTCATAGAGCTGGTGCAGTTGGAGGAGTCACTCATAAAGTGGGCCAACAACGTAGGTCATCTAACCCAGGCAACAACATGTTTCAAACCTCTAACACACCTGTATCCCAAAGAGTTGTGTCTTCTGTTGTCAACACATCCAGAAACCGGTCTGCCTCTCCCCATAATCCCTCCAGATCTAATAGTCCTAGCTTTGTGATATCCCGCAACATTCCAGCGTCTTCGAAAACTAACAGCAGCAGTGCTTCCAAGGAAGTTCATGTACCAGGTGAAAAGCAGCAAGAATTGATAGCTGGAGCTTGGCCTTACATGACGTCAAAATCTGGTGACCTCATAAGATCCAGCTCATCCAGCCCAACACATCTCAGGACTCACTCCCCGTTGACAGTATCACCACAGACCACTCCCTCTAGTTGTATACCACACATAAAAACCAATTCTGCCTCGCTGAGTAGTAGAAAAGACACAAAAGAAAGCACAGTGAAGAATATCAAGAGAAAAAGTACACTCCAATCTGTAAACAGGTATTTTTTGTGTCTTTGTTGCATATTTTTAAATTCATTTATAAAACTGTTCCACAGTGAGTAATGTGCAAATCCTTGTCCTTCATCGATGTTTCGTTTTACACTACCTCTTCCTGTTCTGAATTTTTGCATTTCTATTCTTTTTCTTTTCCTATATGACTTTCATGTTTGTTGTTTTAGTTTAGGATTCCTGTTGTTTTATTCCTTGGTACAGGCTCAATTCAAAACATTTGTTTGTATTTGGACATGTCTTTTCTTCCCTGTCATTATTTTTCCCTGTCATAGTTTTTGTTGTGTGTAAATTTTTTTTTTTACATCAGTTAAAAGAGTTACAGTTGATAGAATATACTTCTTTACACTGGATTTCATTCCATCTCGCTCAGTCTCTCTCTCTCTGCAATACAAACTACGTAACTCAGGCGATGATCCACTGAGATTTCCATAAAAATTTCACTTATGAAATTAACCCATGACCTTTACAGACTTTTACTTGACTACTTCACCCTGGAAACCCTGAAATAGTGCATTAAATATATAAGTACATATGCTGATGCAAGGAATTTTGGAAGCATCCCAAGTGCAGTTATGTCTTTATTTGTTTATATTTATTTTGCTTTTTTCTCTGTTCTATAACTTGTAACACATACAGGATTGGCAAGTAAAATTCACTGTTTTGCAAATCGATTGCACCCTTTTGTAAACAAAATTGGCCTTTTTGCAATTAGTTCAACTGTTTGCAAATCAAATTTACCCAACTTTCCACATCAAAATCACCCTCTTGAAACAACAAATCTGATTCACCCTTTCACAGATCAAGTTTTTCTAAAACATATAAATATTTATATATAAGGTTAGTTGTGTATCCTTTACAGGATGTTGCAGAACCAACCCCAGCATTTATTGGCTTTTGTGGTTTTTCCATGCAAATTTTGCATTCAGTAGTTTGCCATTGTTTGCCGAATGGTCAGCTTTTGGTACCACTGTCGAAAACCAGTGCGAGACAAGTCGTCTGCAACAGGGATCGAACCCAGGACCCCGGCATTACAAAGCGCTTTCGCAATGCCTAAGACACAGACGCTGATGTATATATATTTATATATAGTAATACAAAATTATATGTAGATACAGTTTTGTTGAAAATGAACTTTTTCTTGCAAGTGTGTAATAATGTACATAAAATCCTTATTTAATACTATAAATAGTGGCTTATTTGCAGCTTTAATCATTCTTCTACAGCTGCTCATATCAACTCTACATGCTTATTCTTTAAATAATAATAAATGAAAGAGTAATAAGTAGTTGCAACAGAATGAATAATAACAGCTGCTATATGGAGAGATAATATCCAGACAGACCTGCAAACACTTGGTGTTACCAACTGGATAGAGAAGGCCAACCAGAGAGATGAATGGAGGACGGGTGATACCTGCAGCAATGAATCTCAAGGGCTCGGAATGCTGAAAAAGAAAAAAAAGAAAATAAAATAAGTCTAGCATAATACACTCTTTCTAGTTGATGACAACAAGGGTTCGCAGGTCTGTCTGGATATTATCTCTCCATCCTCTTCTTGGTCTGTCTCAAGGTCTACAACCATTCATCTCCCTCGTGTATAGTTTTTACTTCACTAATTTTACTTCAAAAAATTAGCATTCATTGAAGAGGAGGGTCAACATCGGCTCTTACCACCATTACTTTCCATGAAATTTTATAGTACCTATTTTAGGTTAAATCAGCTGTCTGGTTTTTTTAACCTGCCATGGGCAAACTTTTACTGAAAAATTACTGTTAAGGATTAAGGATACATTTTATTTGTAAAAAAGGTGAATTTGACTTGCCAGTCATGTATTCTTGTGTGACATTGTTCAGTCTCTCTGTTCACAGTGACAAAGAAGAATACTTGGCAGTCCATGGTCATGATTGTTTCGATGAAGGAGATGTGAATGCAAACCATGACATTCGGGAGAGCAGATCAGACAACAGGTAAAATATAAATACACATGTGTACTTCTTTGGATATGGCAGTTAATGTATGTTATATGATGGGAGGAGTGGCTGGGCTCTCAAGCAGGTAATTTGGCTTCAAATCCTTGGTAAGGTTGGGGATTTTTGTTTGTCGGGCACAAATAAAATCCTTACCTGCACAGTCCATGGTGACAAAACTAGCCATGTGGCCTTAAATCCTCAGCCTGAAAGACCCAACTGCCCAACTGACT